GTGAAGGGAGGGCTAGGAATGGGGAAAAAATAAGATCCAAGATGCATTATGTAAAGGTACAATTCCCAAGGAGAAATGTAATTGTGTTGTATACCTACAATGTACCAATAAAAGAATTTAATGCAAAAAGAAAGACAGAAAGCATTTCCTTTGTGCCCCCCCCCCCGTCACACACATACTTGATTGCATGACAGTTTACTCAGAAAGGCAGGTGTGACGGTGAGGACATTACTGTACCCCGAGTTCTCATTCAGAATCACGGTGACACTCAGATGGCCACAGGTCAAAACGCCAACCGCACGGTCTCGTGGATCGCGTCGAAATCGGAAGGGTGATCCTTTATATCCAAGTGGACGTGGCCCGTTGTGACGCCTTTGCGGGACCATCCACTGACCTTGCACTTCCTCACAGAGAGGATGGCGTGATTCAACCAAGGGGACCCCGGGACGCCTCGAGGGTCTGCTCAACAGGGCAAAGAACGAGAAAGAAACACTATTGAATGCACTGGTGTCCCCCATCGTCCAGCCAAGGGAGGGTGGGGAGGAGGACTTCCCAAACGTGCAGATATGTGGGGGACACGAGCCACGTGTGCGGCCCCCGTGAGGAAACCTCCCCAGTTGGGGGGCCGATGAGGGTTTGGAGCAGAACATGGGACTCCAGAAGTCACCAATAGCACTTTCTCTTGTTTTTGCTTCTTGGTTTGTCTCCTTGAGACAGGGTCTCACTACGTGGCCCAGGCTGGCCTCAAACTGGCAACAATCCCCCTGCCTCAGCCTTCAGAGCGCTGGGATGACAGGTGTGCTCACCGGATCTGGCGACCACCACCTCTTGCTAAGGCCACGAGACGGAGTCTGATGAGGGCCCCGGGTGAGAAGACCTGTGGATATGTCCCAGATCCGCGTCTGGATAGTGAGAGGTCACTCAAAACCTCTAGATTTTTATCTCGCACGTGACAGACAGGAGGCCCCTGGCCAGCCCCGTGTTCCCCACCAGGGGAACAACAGGCTCCCGGGCTTCCTGGCTTCTGGGCTCTCAGCCAAGTCGGGGGCATTTCCTGGGGCTGCCTTGGAATCTGTCAGAACAGAGAGGGGAAAGCCATCCGGGAGCCATGAGACCCTCGGCCCATGGGTATGATGCAGGCTGCACGTCCTGGTGCTTCCTTGGGGCCCCACCTGGGGCTGAGAAAGTTGGACCACGGGAAGTGCTGTCCCACCGGCCTGTGCCCATGGATGGCCGTCACCAGGGACTCCTTCCTTCCTGCTCACAGCCAGAAACACGCGGGCACTTTCCACTCTGGCCCTCCAGTCCAAATTCCTTGTGGCGCTGCGCGGGAGCTTGGAGAGGTCTCTGCCGGGGCCGGGGCGGGGCCGGGGGGGGGGTTGAAAGAGACGCCAGTGTCCCCCACAGGACCCTCCCCCGCTGTGCAGTGCGCCAACGGGAAATAACACACAGGACACAGTGCCTGCGCTTTGCTCCCTGCAACAGAGATGGGGGCAAACCTGGAGGGAGCTGTCCAAAGCTCCCGCAGAAGTCCTGAGACTCCTTTGCACCTTTCCCCTTGGCCCTGCTCCTGGGAATTAGCCCTGCCCCGTGGAGTCCCTGGCCCTTTGCACGGAATGTCTTTGTGATGCACACCATCTCGGGCTCTGTTGAGGCTGGGGGCAAAAGGGTCAAAGACCACTTGCAACACGCCAAGCCTTTTCAGTCAGTGTCCCCTGTGCCCAGCAGGTGGCAGGCTGTGGGTGCAAGAGCAGTCCAGCTCTGGGGCACCCTGCTCTGAGCAGTGGGAGCTGCTCAGAAGAGTCCTTCCCTGTGGCTTGTCTCCAGACTGCCGTTTTCCAAGGAACAAGGGATTTTCCTTCACTGAACCCCACCCACCCATTCCCAAAGTCCCATCCTGTCGAAGGGGACCACGGCAGCAAGGCAAGGGGATGTTTACCTAGGAACCAGTTTAGAATTCACTCTCACGACTGCATGGAGAGCACATGGCAGTTGCTCTGAGACAAGCACTAAAGATCTGAATCTTTAGTCTCAAGTGCACCATGCGACTCCTTTCAAAGGCACAGGAAGGAAGCCAGGAACTCTTTAAGGAAACGCGAAAGAATGTGATTCCAGTCCGCTGAGCAGCACCCGCCCGAAGGCTGGGAATGTTATGGACATTGTCGACCTCAGGGAAGAGGCCTTCGCTCCACAAGGCTGTTGACGTTTGCTGCAAATTCTATGAAATTGGGAGGATTTGTTGTCCCCAAATCAGATTCCACATCTCTCAGGAAAAGGGCCGCTGTGCCACTCGACTCGCACGCACGTCACGTACCTACCCTCCGGCCCGTGGGCAGTATCTGGGGAGCACACGGTTGAGGACTTCTAGAGGGGATTTCACAGAGGGAGACCTGTACAAAGGCTCTGCCCTCCAAGCCTTGTGTGCATCTTCTTGGAGGAGGACGTTGCGTGTCTGCTCTTTGATTTCTCTAATGCCAACTGCACAGGATGCTTCAGTGTGTGCAACTCAGACTGGAGCGTGGGTCCATGAAACTCTGAACCTGTGACTTATCTTTCCAGGCATTTATTTGTGACGCGGCCTCTCCCATCTCAGGAGACCTGTGAGCAATCAAGCTCCGCAGGAGAGGTGTGTGCCTGGCTTGCAGGCGGCACGCTGCCACTTTCCTATCTGGCCTCCAGCCCAAATGGGCTAAACGCTTGGGTTACAGGTTTGCCTGGCCCCTCTGAGCAGAGAGAGGTTATGTCTGGGGAAGGGATTCATCAGCGAGGGAATGAGCTGCAGTCCCCTCTCCCCGGAGCTGGCCCGAAGCATGATGTAAGAATGCAGTCACCTTCAGGTGTTGGAGGGGTTAGAAGTCGCCATGGGATTCTGTCAGATCCCTCAGGACGTCTGGGGGAAGAGGCATTCCGTAGTCCTTGAGAGGCACAGCACGGGTGGTGGTGGGGGTGGGGGGGTCCCCGGAGCAGTAATCCCCTAAATTAGTATAAAGGAGTCCTGGGCTCCTCCTGCAAGTTAGCCCAAACAAACGCGCCTTCACTGCTGCGTTAATAATCCCGAAAACCGGGCTTGAGGTGTAACTCAGTAACCGAGAACTCGCCTGGCATGTGGGAAAGCTCTCTGTTGGGGGGCAGAAGAATAACAAACGCCGCCGCCTGCTGAAGGGCCCTCCACTGTGCAGTGTACCCAGAGAAAGTACTCAGGGCGCATTGGACACCATGGAAACCACAGCAGACATCCTCCGCACCAAAATAAAAAGGTTCTCTGGCAACCGCGGGGTTAAGATCCATCAGAAGTCTTATGTTTAAAAGTGTGTTTTTCTCTCTCTTAGGAGATGCAGCAAAGAAGTAATTGGGTTAATATCGCTAGGCTTTTATCGAGAGAGAGAGAGAGAGAGAGAGAGAGGAGAGAGAGAGAGGCAGAGAGAGAGAGGAGAGAGGAGAGAGGGAGAGAGAGGCGGAAAACCAAGGCAGCTAAGTAAACATTGTATAAACGAGGTTCAATTTAAGACCCTAATATAATATTTCTCCTAAATATTTTATATCCTCATCCTATGCACTGAGAACCAGAACAACAACAACAACAAAGCCTCCCCTGCTAACAAGCTCCAGTAGAAGAAGCATGGGCCGTGCTTCTAAATGGCATCTCCTCACCCAGGCCTCACTTTAGAAGGAGCGGCCTGGCTGATCGGGCTCCCGGGCCAGACAGGGGCAAGATCCACCTGGGGAACCCTGTGGAGGAGCAAACGAGAAAGCCTCCCAGCACAGTGGGGTGGTCTAAGGGCTATGGGTGTCCTCGGTGCTGAGCAAACTGTGCTGCAGTTAGACAGTCGTGACGGTCACACGGAGACGGGGATACGTTCGAACTTCCGACGTAAAGAGAGGGTTGTATGGGATGTCGCTTCTGTTTCCTCACAAGGCTTACGCCGGTATTACTTAAACGAGCAATTTTCCTAACAACAGCAAGAACAGACCGAGGACTGGGGACCACTGGGACAGCCCTGCCACCTGCCCGGGATGGGGGTCCTGCCCGGGCGACCTCTCTGGGACCCGGCTGCACTCAGGGGACCTGGCTGTGCTGGGAGACGGCGCTTCTGCGGCAAGGAAACCCTTCCCCGTGCGCGGGAGCGTGCTGCCTCTCGTGTTCCTTGGGGTGAGGGCGAACCAGGCGGGTATCGGTGGTGGCATTTTATTAAAATTGCTTTTAATTAAATTTTCACTGTGGGAACCAACTCTCAAAGCCGACGATAGCAAACTGGTGTTCGGCATGACGTGGGGGCGCTCATTAGTATTGCAGGTGGGTTGGTAGCTGCTGGAGCCGAGCCGACCCGTTTCAGAGCGAACCTGGCGCTTGGCCTCTCCTCCCTCCGCGGCGTGGGCGGCGCGAGCCACAGCGTGGGGCGAGCCAGGGAGCAGGCGCGAGAAGAGCTCTGCCTGCAGACTGCAGCCCGCAGCCTCTGGCCGGCCGGCCTCCCAGTGCGCGTGCGCGGCTTCTGCAGCCAGCCGGGACCAGCCCTGCGGACCAGCGAGCGGAGCGAGTGAGCTGTGTGGGGCGCTAGGCGAGGTCGAGCCGAGCACAGCCGCGAGCGACATGGGGGACCGGGAACAGCTGCTGCAGCGGGCGCGGCTGGCCGAGCAGGCGGAGCGCTACGACGACATGGCCTCCGCCATGAAGGCGGTGACAGAGCTGAATGAGCCCCTTTCCAATGAAGATCGCTATCTCCTCTCTGTGGCCTACAAGCATGTGGTTGTGGCCAGGCGATCTTCCTGGAGGGTCATCAGCAGCATTGAGCAGAAAACCATGGCCGATGGAAATGAGAAGAAATTGGAGAACGTGAGAGCTTACCGGGAGAAGATTGAGAAGGAGCTGGAGTCAGTTTGCAGTGATGTCCTGGCTCTGCTCGACAAGTTCCTCATCAAGAGCTGCAGTGATTTCCAGTATGAGAGCAAGGTGTTCTACCTGAAGATGAAAGGGGATTACTACCGCTACTTGGCAGCGGTAGCTTCTGGGGAGAAGAGAAACAGCGTGATCGAAGCCTCCGAGGCAGCCTACAAGGAAGCTTTTGAGATCAGCAGAGAGCACATGCAGCCAACGCACCCGACCCGCCTGTGCCTGGCCCTCAACTTCTCCGTGTTCTACTACGAGATCCACAAGGCACCCGAGCAGGCCTGCCTGTTAGCCAAGCGGGCCTTTGACGACGCCATCGCGGAGCTGGACACATTAAAGGAGGATTCCTACAAGGACTCCACGCTCATCCTGCAGTTGCTGCGAGACAACCTCACCGTCTGGACCAGGGACCAGCAGGATGAAGAAGCACGAGAAGGCAATTGAAGAGCCTTCGGGTCCCTGGCCCTTCCTTCACCCGCCACCCCCGTCGTCATCGCTGATTCTTCCTTCCCACAGTCACTGAATATCGAAACCTGTCTGTCTCTCTGCCTGTCTGCCTGCCTGCCTGCCTGCCTGCCTGCCTGTCTGCCTGTCTGCCTGTCTGTCTGTCTGTCTGTCTGTCTGTCTGTCTTGGCAGCACAACTGCTCAGATCTGCTCTCCCATCGTTTGGGGGGCAGCTTCGGATAGACTTTCACGGACATTGCTGGACTGACGGTTGCTTTGGGCCCGCAAGAACTCCAAAAGAACTCTTTGGGACTGTGCAGAAAAGTGTGTTCCGAATGAGGCACTTTACTGTGCCTGCTGAGCTGTGGCAGATCGGGGTGAATGTAACTGGGGAGTTGGGAAAGGAGAGTTAGCCAGCACGGGCTGTGGTTGATGTTTGAAACAAGCTGATAGTGTGTTGTTAAGCAGTACATCTCTGCATGCCAAAGTGAGCTCAACCCTCCCACCTGTTTCTTCAGCTGATGGAACACTTAGGGGAAGCTGATACGGGGAGACGACTTGCTCCTTTCCATCAGCTTTGTAACAAACTGTTTAACGTGAGGTTTCAGTAGCACTCTGTTTTGCCTCTCTGAATTAGGACGTGCACAAACCTTCTTCTCAGTGTAGTGCATCTAAAGTTTTGGTGTGTGTAGCTTTCTGTTTGGGGTTGCGATTGTTTAAGAATTATGGGCTTTGCTTTTTCCTGTTACTCCTTGGCTACTGTCCTTGTGCATCCTGACAGCGCCCTGTGCGTCAGCCCGTGTCAATCAAGATGAGTGATTTCATGACATGTCAGACTTGTAAAATAAATGTTTTGGAATCCAAAGGGTAAACAAATGCTGCTTTGGGGCTATTAAAAAAGTAGAAAAGAAATAGGGAGGGGGTGGAGGGGTGGAGGGGTGGAGGGGAGGGCAGAGGGATGGGGAAAAATATAAGAACCAAGATATATCATGTAAAGGTGCAGATTCCCAATGATGAATGTCATCATGTTGTATACGTAAAATGTGCCAATAAACTTACTGAATAAAACAAGTAAAAAAGAAACTGGCTACTTGCACAGCATGTGACGGGCCCTGGGTTCAATCCCCAGCCCTATCAAACAAGTAAATACCTGACAATTATGTGATGGGGGAGATTCAAAAGTGTACATGAAAAAAGGGGAATTCCTCTCTGGAAATTGTCATTCAGTCTGAAAGTCTGTGAACATATTCCAAGGTGCTGTGAATCTGTGTGTGGTTTCGTGCAGTGGATATTTTCTGGGGAAATTTCCATGTGTTACTCCTCCTATGATATATAGTCAGTCATATGTAGAATACATAAACGTGGTTTTATTTCAGCACCACTACTTGACTGATATAGTGGGTGATTTTATTGTCCTTCACCATTTTGCTCTTTGGCAATATCATTTTACTAAAGTGAATTTTACTGATGAATTTCAGTATTGTTTGAGGTATGCAGTAATATCACAGCCTCTCTGGAAAAAAGGGGGGTTTTGTTTTTTTGTTTTTAAGTGTTGAAAAAAAATCTCAATGGGGACATGTCAAAGACCCTCAGGTCCCTGTGGGCCCACTGTCCAAGATTGGACAATTTGGCCACGGTTGCAGTTTAGCTCTAAAAATAGGACCCGTATGTCTGTCTTTCTGTCTTTCTGTCTTTCTGCCTTTCTTTCTTTCTTTCTTTCTTTCTTTCTTTCTTTCTTTCTTTCTTTCTTTCTTTCTTTCTTTCGGAGGTGCTGATTGTCAGAATGGGCAGGGTGCTGGGAATGTGATATGCAAGGGAGTATTCTGGTTCCTGTCTCTGCCCTTCTCTCCCCGATTCCTGGCCACCATGCAGTGTGAGCAGCTTTCCTCTGAGATGCCAGTTGGCCGTGATGTTTCTAACTTGGAGCTTGCAGGCTATGGACTGAAACCACCGAACCTGTGGGTCAAAATAAACCTCCCCTCCTTTCAGTTTCCAGGGTTGGATATTTCTGCCAGGGCTCGGGAAGTGCCTAGTAGAACCATGGAAAGGATGAATGTGCCAGGCATGGTGGGCCATGCCTGTTGTCCCCGCCACTTAGAAGAAAAATTGCAACTTCCAGGTCACCTTGGGCAACGTACAGAGACCCCGCGACCAAAAAAAGGAAAAAAGAGGGTGGGGATGCAGGTGATGGGTAGATCACTTGCCCAGCATTCACAGTGCCCTGGGGCCAAGCCCTTCCTAGTTCGGCAAAAGAGGGAAAAGACAGAGGGATGACAAGATACGAGGCCAACAGGACACACTGTTGGCAATCATGGAGACTGGCAAAGGCTGTGTGAGATTTCCTTTTACAAATTTCTCGAGCTTTTAGTTTTTTCTTTCTTTGTTTCTGTGTGTGTGTGTGTGTGTGTGTGTGTGTGTGTGTGTGAAGTGATTCAGCCCAGGCCTCTCACAATGAGTTCTATCCCAGGTCCTCTTTAAAAATTATTTTTTATTCTGAGACAGGCTCTTGCCCAATTTCTGAGCTTTGCCTCAGATCCTCCTGCCTCAGCCTCCTAGAGTGCTGGGGTTAGAGGCAGTTGCCACCACATCCGGCTAACTCTACTTTTGCACACTTTGCAAAAATGTATAGGGAAGACATGTGTCCTTAACATGGCATGGGAAATAAGGTCCCCTGGGCTTTTAGCAGACCTTTCAGAGGGAGACGTGTGGTTGATGTGCTCACAAACTCTCTTTCCACGTACTGGGTGTCACGGCTTGTATCTAGATGTGCCCCCCCCCAAGCCTCACGTGCTCACAGATGGGGCTTTTGGGAAGTGGCTAGATCTAGGGTATGTGAACATGGATTAAGGCTGTAAAGATTGGATTCGTGCACGGGTTGGTTTAGCATCGTTCTGGGTGTGCGGAATGGGAGGCCCCGCCGTGGGTGTGGGTGGCACTAACAACAGGCTTATAGCCGGGGTGGAACATAAAGGGAAAGATGGAAGGCAGGCTGGCTGCTCCCTGCCTGCCCTGCCACGGACTCTTTCTCTTCCGCCAGGCCCCTCTGTCATGCTGTCCCGGCTTGGAGTCAGCTGAGTAGGGACTGAAGCCTCGACCAACTCTGAGCCAACATAACCCTTTCTTCCTTCAACCTGTGGGTGTTGAGTATTTTGTCTCAGCGACGAGGAAGCAACTGAGACACTAGGTATATATGCTGTGACTTACCTTGGTCGGGAATACTTAAAATCCATAGACAGTCAGACATATGCCAGACTGGCAAGGTGCTTTTTACAAAATTAAAGCTCCTAATGTAACCCGGACATCAACGAATGAAATTGAGGTACAGAAGCGAATGAGAGGAAGTGTGGCCAGCACCGCCCAAGCTCTGTCCCGAGTACTTCTGCCATGGTCTTGAGCCCTTGGACGTATTCGGTAGAGCACTGCTACAATATTTTGCAAAACCTCCCGGGAATGTTGACTTTCCAAATCCAGTGCAACCTGCGGAGTTATTTTGCAAACCTCAGGATGAGTTGGATGTCCAGCAGAAGTATAAGAAAGGGAATCTGCCCCACTTGGCTACATCGAGAAGGCAGCTGGCATTGCCATGAGCATGGCCCTCCCACTTTCCCGAGAATTGGGCTTGAATGGGAAGGGGAAAGATGGCGGGAAGCAAATCCCCCGGATGTTCACGGTAGAGTAGCGATTTTTGAGTACAGTGACGGAGATGCAGCCACTAGCTGCCACGATCAGACCCGGGGCAAAGATGAGCGGGACGCGGGTGACACCCTTCTGGAGGGTCCCCACGTGCAGGTTCCGGAGTGCTGAGACAGTGAAGGCTCTGGTCAAGGGCCCTAGAATGCTGGCGACCACCAGGAGGCGGCGCTGAGCTAAACTGACAGCGGGAGGGAGCGAGGAATGCATGGCTGTAGGCCTATGGGCGACACATTCTGACTTCACTGCAGTTGTGATGGTGGTATATGCGGACTCTTCATATTCCCACACACACGGTGCCAGGGTAGGAGAGCGACAGGTCATCCACATGCCACACGTGGTCCATGGAAGTGCCGCCGAGGATCCACGTGATGGTGGCAACAGCGAAGCCTGGGGCCTGGCGACTGGCAGTGTGCACGAGGAAGGTCATGGCGGCTGCACACACAGGACAACTGCAGGCAGACACAGGGCATCCCGAGAGCAGGATCCTTGGGCCTGGGACGCCTGCGTGGGGAACAGAACCAGCGGGGAAGTGCTGCGATCCAAAGAGGAGGCTTTGACCTCTGGAAGGGCCCCAGGGTGCAGCCTGTGCAACCTTTGGGAAGAGCCCCGGGCAGATTTTGCAGAACGCTTTCAAATGCGCAAGCCCTCCATCTGTCCAAATCTGAGTGTTGGTCTGGAGACAGTAATTACGCTTGGCCCCAAATATTAGCCCCCAGAATGGTCATCACAGCACTGCTTGTAATATTGAAAATGGAGAAACCACTCCAAATCTGACAACTGGTTAAACAATCTATGCGTTCTCTGCACAACGGAGCTACATGCTGACATTAGAAAGAGAAGTGGAATCACGCAAAGTGGAGTGTGTGGGGCTCGGCTCTTTGCACTCAGCAGAGTGTGTTCAGAGTTCACCCGGGTCGTGGCACGCGCGAGGAGTGCATCCTTTCCCACTGTGTGGACATGGATGCGCCAAAGCGCACCTAGTCACGCCTCCATTTTACGCAACTGCACGGCTTCCACGCTCTGCCTATCGTGAACGCTGCCGCTATGAAAGCGCACGCGTAAAACTCTGTGTGGATATGCCCTCTTGTTCTTTTTGCTAGGTACCTGGGAACAGAATGGGCAGGTCATATGGTAAGTGCATACTTAACTCTTCAGAAACTACAAAACTATTTTCCCAGGTGGTGGCGCCAATTTACATTTCCACCAACTATGTGTTAGAAAGCCAGTTTCTTCACATTCCCCACATACCGTATTTTCAGTCGTGGTGTTTTTAATGCAGATGTTCTAGTTTCAATTAGTTAGCCATGTGACCAAAAAGATGATCACAATATATTGAGTTCCAGGAGTATGTGATAAAAGACTCTGCGTAATACATTCATGGATGAGAATTATACTGGAACCGTATATGCTGTTATGGAGAGAATTTTTTAACTGGGTTTGGTGGACTTTGATGGCTTTCGGGGGATGTGAAGCGTTAGATACATATAGAAAAACCCACAGAGGGCCGGGGATTTAGCTCAGTGGCACTGGGCCTGCCTTGAAAGCGCAAGGTCCTGAGTTCGATCCCCACTACCACAAAGGAAAAAAAAAAGAAAAACCCACAGAAGCTAAGTGTGCTACTCAGTAAATTGCAATGGGGCAGACACTCATGTAGCCAGCACTGCCTGCTCTCTCTCCTGGTGTCTCACCTCAGCATGCATCCCTAACATTTTACAGTAGTTTCACCTGTTTTTCAAAATGGACACAAGCCAGCAGGCATTTCTGTGTGACTGTCTTCTCCATTCCACTTTGCACTGATATACTCAGATTATGAGGATGTAAAGGAGTGCCTATTTGTTACACAGAATTCTGGGTTTCATCTGGAGGGTTCGTACATGTGTGTGACACGCACTGGTCGTTCTCATCCCCCAGTACTTCCCTTTCTCTTCCTACTCAGTCTCCCACTTCTTGCCATCAATTCCAGTGGAGAAACCCCGGAAGTAGGATTAGAGTGCCCGGGCCACAATGCTCCCAGAGGCGTAGTGGACAATAGGAAGGAGGAAAATCTGCAGACCTCAATATGTGAATCGGGGTGGGGTGCTTGTGCGAAGTTCCTGACTCCGTGCTATACCGACCGCATTCTTCAACATGAAGTCCTCCCATATAGTTTAAGGAAAGGACATGTTTCCTATATGCTAAGTACAGAAAAGGAGCCAAAGGAACGTATAAATACGTATATAGTTTACGATGCCTTTAGTGA